GGAAATATAACACATGCACATGTTATATTTAAACAGTATAAAACATTAAACAATGAAAACTAAGTCTCTGACTGACTCCCTTCTTCAGCTCTCCAATTGAAAGTCGGTTTCACTGTTACCTGTTTCTTGCCTATCATTCCTGAGCCTGACTGGCTGTCTTCTTGCCCCTCCCTCCCTTGCTCTCTCTCCCCCTCCTTTCCTCCCTGTGTGTCTGTGCATATCTCCCTGCTGAAAGTACAAATCGTGGCCATACTACATATCTTGCACTTCGGTTTTCCCCCCCTTAATGCAAGTAACCACGATCTTGCCTGTATGTCAGTACAAAGAAATGTGTGTTGGTTTTTAATTGCCCCATGGTGTTTCACTAGGTAGGAGCAGAGCCTGACCAGTGTGGGCCCTTGGTGGGCAGCTTGCTCCCAAGAGGAGAGAAAGAGCCCTGACCATCCACACCGGCTCCTCTTACACTCACTGTGACATGCCTATTCCACCTAGCTGGGAGAGAATGAGGGGGAGGCAGCGCTAGAGATATTTTGCTTCTGGGCATCTTAGAAGCATCAAACAAGCAAGTACCGTCAAATGAACAAACAAGTGGCCTCCACCACTGCTCGGGGACCTATCGTGATAGGCTGACTAGGAGTAGGACCTCATTCTACCTGGGACCTGCAGAATCCCAAGGCCCCGCCCCAGCCCCACCCTCCCCTGTTCTTAATTCCAGCTCCAGTCTGTGCAAGGCTTGCCCTTTAATTTCCATTCCAGAGCAGTCTCTTGCCAGACCTCTGAAGAATTCGGTCTGCTAGTTCTATCCAACAGTTTTCAGAGGGACCTTTGTTGTACTGTGAACTTCCTTGTTTCATGTCATGAATCTGCCTTCTAGGAAGGGTGGCATGGCAGGGTGAGTATGAGTTTGCTTTATGGAGAAGTTTAGCATTCACTTAGTAACCCCATATTTAAAAGCACCTCCCAGGTGCCAGGCACTGTGCTGAGATGAGTCAGACATAGGTCTTGACCTTCCCATGGTCTGAGTGGGAGGGCATGTGGTGCATCCAGGCTCATTGTTCTGTGGGGGAAGCCCCAGGACCTGCACAGGCATGTGGGAGGGGCAGGTTTGGAAATCTTAGGCCAGAGGAGGTCTCTCGTCTGGTGGGGGAAGGGAGGGACAGAGGTCGCAGAAACTTTCATTCTGTGTTTCTGGTTACACCTTGATGAAGGAAGAGGGATGATCCTGAGTTAGACTAAGAAGTATCCAGGTCTGGAAGACTAAGCTGGGGCAGGGCCTGGGGAGCAGAAGCCCCACCATAGGTGCTTCCTGGGGTACTGCTCTAGGGAGCTCTGGCAAGCTCTTCAGGGCTCAGGACTTTTTAGAGCAGCCAGCCAGCCTCTCCTGGCCCGTGGCATGGGAGACTGGACTCCGGGTAGCCCTGTAACAAGGGTCCCGTCCAGTTTGGTCTGTGGCTGTCGGCATAGAGAATGTCTCCTCTATCCCACCTTTGAGATTGACAGTGACATCAGCACACAAAAGGCTCTGAGAAGCCCGTCACTAAAGAAACTTACAGAAATGTAGCCCCCCCCAGCCCCTCTGCCCCTCTCCCCCCATTTCCTAACAGTTTGCCTGTGGAATCTTTGCTACCATACAGCTGTGTGTATCGCTTCTTCAGCTCTTGTCTTGAAATTGCCGTGGGGGAGGGGTGGTCAGCCCCCATGAAAACATCCAGGACCTCTCCTTTCACCCTACCCTCTACTTCTGTGGGTGGGGTTTTGGTTTTGGACTCAGACTCTTCTTTGTGTTGGTTGAGCGCCACCTGTTGGCTATTAAGACATTACAGAAATCGGGGGTGGAGTTGGGGGGGGCATGTAATAGCAGTTTGTCCTCTGATATCTGGCATACTCCTGCTGAAGTTTGACCACATTTGACATAAATATCAAGGGAAAGTGAAACATTTCAGCAAGAGAGGAGGAAGACGACGAGAACCCCCACACTACACCCTGTCAGGTTTGGTTTCCAGCTCACAGGGTTGGATCTCTCCTGCATCACCCCACCCCTTTCACTGTAAGTAACTGAAGCCGGCAGGTGACCTCACTTCTCTGAGATGCTGTTATGCTCAGGTTGCCCTGCTTTGTCTTCGGTAACAGAGTAGCGATAAGGTTGGGTTTGTTGTTAGCCCAGTGGTTAGTTCTTCACCAAACACTGCAGGGAACAAAGCTAGTTCTCTTCCTAGGAGCCCCCACTTTCCAGTGCCTTTCTCCTGCTTATGTCTTCTGCGCCATTTCTGCAGGTGGCAAATGCTGGGTCAGGATCCAGTAACATGGAAAGGAGCCTTTTATCCTGGGCTTTAATGTGAATAAACAATCAGTTATAGGAAAGTTTTGGATATTTTTCCCCTTCAGGAAATAAAGAAATAGGGACCGTTTTGTTTTTATTCTGGAACCACCTGCCTGGTTAGGCATCAGGTTGTTGACAGGTCGTGCGGAGGTGGGGGAAGCGGGTTGGTTTGCCCGCTGTTGGGAGCTAATGCACTCTGGGATGTACTCTGCTCTCCAGCCTGGTCTGTCTGGTAGCACCGCACCCACTCCCACTCCCCACCCCTCCAGGCTGCGGCCATGCTGGGTGTTCTCCGCTGCCCTGGCCAGGTGTGATCCTGCTCATCTCGGGCCAGGCAGCAGGAACGGCCTCTCCCCTTCTCCTTGGTTTATTTAAAGGTTTCTTATCTTCTAGACCTTGGCTTAGATGTCACCTCCTCCAGAAAGCCTCTCCTGACTGGCAAACTGGTCAGTTATGCCGACTCTATGCTCCCAGAGTCCTCTGCTCTTCTTCACAACACTCAGCGCATAGGCAGGACTTGTGCCTCCGGGGACTTCATCTGCCTCATGCATCCCGTTTCTCATTCTTAGCTCACACGTAGCTCAGAGTAGACTTGTCAGATGAGGAAACAAGAAGCAAGTGGTTCTACAGCCACGTGGAATTCAGGGTAGACCTTTGCCCCGATCCTTGTTCAGGGGCATTGAGAGTGGGCATGTGGGTGTCACCTTTTTCCTCCCATAGAAGAGGAAGTCTATTGACAATAGTGGCACAAAAGAGAGGCCTTTCAGTAATAACGTAAATCTAAATCACTGAGGTGGTTATTAATATCTTATATTTTGCTTTAGGGTTTACCCTTTGTGTGTGTGTGTACACACATTTAATCCTTATTAAAACACTCTGGAGGTGATAGTATTATTATGATCTCACCCAAGATATGGGTGCCAGAAGAGTTAAGTGACCGTGAAAGTTCAGTTAGGATGCAGTTATTCAGTAGAGTCTCTGAAACACTGCAGCTGCTGGCTGTTGAACTGGGGTGAAAGCTGAGCAATGGGGTGTGGGTTCAGAGTGCCATTGGATGAGGATGAAAGAGAGGAAGAAGGTGTTTTACTGGTTTGAAGGCCCTAATTATTTGAGCTGAGGCTGCTGCTCTCTGTTCCTCTGATTCTAAGAGAATGTGCTGTGACATTTTCTCTCGGGGGTGGGGGTGGGGGAGAGGTGGTCACAGCCTTCTGGCTGATGTGATCTGTGATTCTCAGCCTGGCCCGGTGCTGGGTGGGTAAAGGGAGCCATGAGGTTTTGCCAGGTGCACAGCCTTTTGCTTCGTAACCCAGGTTTTCAGGTTCAGCTCAGGTTTATTGCGTGGGTACCGTCTTTGAAGACCTCAGCTGTTGAGCTATTGGCACGTCTCTGTCACTTGAGCTTTCTGAGTGGGTCTGGAAAAGGGAAAGGGCCGTGACCTGCAGTCAGGAGGACCCAGAGAACCCCGTTTGGTATGAACCAAAAATAGCTCCTTGCCTAGCTCAAGCCATCTGAAAAAGAGGAGCCCTGTGCCAGCTGCTCAGAGGAGGCTCCTGGCAGAGCCCTTGGAAAACTAAGCTGTCCGAGGAGGCTGTGCCTCCAGAGAACGTTTCTTGCCTGTTGTTAGCTGCTTTGCAAGCGCTTTAACTCATTAACGAAGAATTACTACCTGAGCCCCAAGTTTTGTGCTAGGTGCTTAGGGTGAGGGAAGCCTAAAGGGTCCTCCCTCTGGAAGCTGCAGGCTGTCTATTGGAGGGAGATGTGGGCACAGACATTATTCTAGTGGCTACGGGTGAGTGCTCTTTGAGGTGTGAGCTGTGCGCTGGAAGGTCTCAGTGCCTGCTCAGAGGAGATTGTGGTGGAGCAGTGTTTGAAGGCTGAACAGGTGGGCAAGGGCAAAGGGAGCTCCAAGAGGAGTGAGGACCAGGTGTGCAGAGGCCTGGAGGCAGGAGAGCGCCTCACAGGTTCAAAGGCCTGTTGGAAGTACCTTGTGGGGAGGTAGGCCGAGACCAGGTTAAAGGACCTTGGCTTTGCCGAAACCGGTTTGGCTCAGTGGATAGAGCATTGGCCTGCGGACTGAGGGATCCCAGGTTCGATTCCTGTCAAGGGCATGTATCTTGGTTGTGGGCACATCCCCAGTGGGGTTGTGCAAGAGGCAGCTGGTCAATGATTCTCTCTCATTGATGTTTCTAATTCTCTATCCCTCTCTCTTCCTCTCTGTAAAAAAAAATCAATAAAATATATTTTTAAAAAAAGAAAAGGAGTTTCGCTTTCACTCAGTGGTCAACACATTTCTTTTTCAGCTTCACTGAGGTATAATTGATAGTAACGTTGTGTAAGTTTAAAGTGTACAATGTGACTGGATATTTATATAGCAAATTCAACAGATTTCTTTTTAACTTTTAATTATGGAAATTTTTAAAGAAATGCAAAAAATAAACAGAATATGATAATGAACCTTGCCCTCACCCTGCTTCAACAGTTAACCAGTGGCATCATCCCAACACCTCTACTCCACGTCACTTGGAAGAGGTCCCAAAGGGTCTCATATATTCTACCAATCTCATCTGTGGCTTGTAATGGATTAATCCAGAATTTGGTGCCTGGAATGATCAGGTGGCACTTTCTGATGTCACTTCATTTTCAGAGGAACCAATGAGTGTCCCTCTTTCTTGCCTTTCAGTGGGAAGTTGGTGTCTCCCAAGTGGAAGAATTTCAAGGGCCTGAAGCTCCAGTGGAGAGACAAGATCCGGCTCAATAACGCCATCTGGCGGGCGTGGTACATGCAGTGTGAGTGCCAAGTGAGCTGGGGCCTCCTGGGAGCTGGGGCAGGAGGCTGCAGGGGCCCCCAGGCCTGTGGGGATGGTTCTTCCATCTAGAGGCCTGTGCACCTTAGAAATTGTGCTTCAAAGAGAAGCCTCTTTTGGGCAGTCTACAGAGACAGGAAAACCAAGCCAAATCCTAGTGAACTGGACACTTCGCCAACAGGCACAGGGGCCAACCAGGTGGTCTGTGTTGTGAAGGTGTCCGTCATCTGCAGGAGACAGATGTGTTAGCTGGTTGCTTACAACACAGTTGCCCGCTGTTATGATAGACACCAGGGCCCAATGTCGAAAAGGCAGAGGCGGAGGGAGGGGTTTGTTCTTTTCAGGGGAATCAAAAAGGGTGTAGCAGAAGGTGATATTTGAAGCATCAGGGAACAGTTCCCACTTCCAGCAGGTCTAAGAAAATGCAGGTCCGGCCTTGTTCTGTCTCCAGCTGGCCTGCGTGACTTTTCCAGGAGATTGGCGTGCTTGGGCTACCCTGGTATTAGGCTGGCGTTTCCATTTCTTACCTATGCCGTATTGACACATTCTTTCTCTTTAACCTGGATCCCTTTGTTTGTCTGAAAGAAAGAGAAAGAAAGAACACATGTGAGAGGGTCCCACCCGAGGGGAGGGTTGTAGACCAAGGGCAAGGCTCCTTCAGGGGTCTTGGTTGCAGTAATGATGTCTTACCCCTTCTCTGCCCAGATTTGGAGAAGAGAAAAAATCCCGTGTGCCACTTCGTCACTCCCCTAGACGGCTCTGTGGAAGTGGACGAGCATCGCCGGCCAGAGGTAAGTGGCAGTGATCATGGGTGGCCGGGAAAGGAACTCGCCTCACTCAGGAGCCGGCTCATGAGGGCTGGGAGCCAGGGTTGGTTCCCCAGTGGGAGACCACAGGGCAGCATGCTGGGGCTGCGCTGTCCTGTCAACTGTTGTGACCTTGAGAAGCCATGGGGATATGGGGAGCAGGTGGCTCCCCTTCTCAGAGTGGGCTGACCCAGGGACTGAGGGACTTTTCAGTTGGGACTTACCCTCTACTTTCCTGTGACTGCAGTGTTTCTTGAAATCAACAGGAGGGATTTGGGCTCCTTATAAGGCAAGTATCTTTTTTTTTTTTTTTAATCCTCACCTGAGGATATTTTTAGAGAGTAGAAGGACGTGGGGAGAGACGCAGAGAGAGAAATATCGATGTGAGAAAGACACATCGATGGGTTGCCTCCCACATGCACTCTGACCAGGTCTGGGAATTGAGCCTGCAACCCAGGTATGTGCCCTTGATCGGGACTCAAACCTGTGAACCAAATGCTGTAACCACTTAGCAACACCTACCAGGACACACGGAAGTATTTTTGGGTGAGATTATGGGGGGCTTTGGCATGATAGGGATCTGACAGTGAGCGGGCTCTCTGAGACAGTGATGAATTCCTTGTCACCAGAACATTTCAAGGGTGTGGAAGGACGCATGCCCTGAGTAATGGTTCAGTTGAATGAGATACTCTTGGAAGTCAGATCACTTTCCACCAGAAACTTCTGGGATTGACTGTTTGTTCTGACCCTTTGACTCTCCCTGCAGCTACAGGAGGGGCCACTGCCTTCTCACATGAAGGATTGAAGGGCTGAGGAAAGGGGTCAGTTCTCTGCAGGCTGGGTTACAGGGGTTTCTCCCCTCGGTTCTGCACCCATTCACGTTCTGTGGGCAGCCCCTGCCGCTCTGTAGAATAGGAGGCATATGTCCCCAGCACAGTGTAGTAGTGGCTACTGGAAGCATGCATTTGGGTGTTACCCCTGGGTCTCTGTAGGGCCCCTCAGCACCCGAGGGATCATTCTGTCTGACCCCATCCAATCCAGACCCTCAGGACCCGTGCTGCCGAAGCCCCCCTTGGCTATTGCATCTTCAGTTAGAGGCCACTTGCAGCCCAGAAGAGGGGAACACACTTTGTGAGTGAAGTCTAGGACCATGGTGGGCTGCGAGCTGGATTGACCAGGCTGACTTCCAACCCGACGTCAGACATGGCTCTGTTCCTGGGCGACTGCTGCTGACGTACCGCGGCGCCGTCTCTCCTGCTGACCTGCTTCTCTCTCGCAGGCCATCACCACAGAAGGGAAGTACTGGAGAAGCCGCATTGAGATCGTGATCCGGGAATATCACAAGTGGAGAACCTACTTCAAGAAAAGGGTAACTGGCTTGGGACCCAAAAAGAGCATGTTGGGGAAGTGGCCCCGGAGGAAGGAAGGGATCGAGTCCTGCGTTCAAACACTGGCCCTGAGGCTGCAGCTCCACAGCTCTCCGTGGAACAAGCGTTCTAGCTTTCCAAGTGATGGGCTTGCTGTGGCCGTGATCTTTGCTGTCAACTTCTCCATCTGTGAAAAGGCTTTTTGATCCACAAACACTGGTCAGGAATCTCCTCTGCCGGGCATTGTCTGCGGGTGGCAGGGTCAGGACTCTCTCCCCACCTGCCCCCCAGAGACAGGATGCCTAGATGTTTCTGGAGTCCATGCTCTTTTAGGGAGGAGAAGCTAAGGGCCTCATCTCTTCCTGGGGGCCTGGGTGACCTGCTTGTCTCCTTTTCTCCATAGTTACAGCAGCACAAGGATGAGGACCTCTCCAGCTTGGCCCAGGTGAGGGAGTGTGGGGATGTGAGAACTCCCATAGGGAACCCCCTTTTGACAAGAAACAGCAATAACTTGGATGGCTTGACAAGTGAGCCCCATATCAGAGGAGTTTGGGGATATGGACTCTCCCTGCGGCTAAAGGAGGGGCCGCTACCTTCTCACATGAAGGATTGAAGGGCTGAGGAAAGGGGTCAGTTCTCTGCGGGGTGGGCTGCAGGGGTTTCTCCCTTCTGTTCTGCACCCCCTCATGTTCTTCGCAGCAGCCCCTGCCGCTCTGTAGAATAGGGGGCATATGTCCCCAGCACAACATGGTTGGGAGCTCTGAGTCCACCACCACCTGCTCAACTTCCCCATCCCCTCTGTTGGTGGTAGGAAGATGACATGCTTTATTGGCACAAACATCGGGATGGATGGAAGACCCCAGTCCCGATGGAAGAGGACCCACTGCTGGACACAGACATGCTCATGTCAGAATTCAGCGACACACTTTTCTCCACACTCTCCTCACACCCACCGGTGGCCTGGCCCAACCCACGGGAAATAGGTAACCCACCCCCTGATCCCTGACTTTGAGTGCCTGGCTGATTTCCTTCTCTGTCAGGCCTCCCTGGGACAGACTTCACTTCAGGGCCATCTCTGAGCAGCTGCATGTCACTTGTTTAGAGCAGGCGGTAAGAAAGAAGATTGACCAACCTCACTGACATCTGACGGCTACATGCATTGAGTGGGTGGGAACTGCAAATTGAGTCTACCTAGGAGCTGTCAGGCCCATGGTATCACTGTGAGAAGCAGCGGGGGTTTGATCTGAATCAGTTTCACATTTCTGATTCTGTCCCCTTAGCCAAAGATGTGTGCCTAGCCCAAGTGACAGGCCTGAGACCCCCTCTGAAGAAGATGAGCAGCACTCCTGGGCATGACCTCTCATCTGGCCTGAGAGGCTGTCCAGTTCACCCGTCATGGAAGAGCCCACAGAATTGGGGTTGGGGGAATCTCTGCAGAACTGATCATGATTTCTGGGAGTGTCCATTCTTGATACTCTATTTACTTTTCTTGCAAAAACTCATTCTTTTCTGCATTCTGGGAGCAGAGAATGGCCATGAACCCACAAAAAAGTAGAAATCCCAGCCAGTTGCCTACATTTCTTCTTGGAAGAATCTAGAATTTGAGCAGGACCAGGCCTTTCATATCTTCCTACAACTTTGAAAAGGCAAAGTCATTGCTCTGTCTCCTTTCTGATCCTTACAGCACATCTGGGAAATGCAGACATGATCCAGCCGGGGCTGATTCCTTTGCAGCCCAACCTGGACTTCATGGACACGTTTGAACCCTTCCAAGGTGAGGACATGAGCAGAGAGGTCATGGCCACCTGCACCTCCTTCACCCAGGACAAAGCAGACCGGTGCTTCCCTTTCACAGAGGGAGCTGTTGGAGTGGGAAAGGGAGCAGGGAGGACTTAGAATTTTCCCAATTTTTTGGTTGTAGCTGCAAAGTCTGCAAGTTTCTCTGGGGCATTGCTGTCGTGGGAATTGGTCTTCTCATTCTCAGTCTGAAGAGCCTCTGGTTTGGCCATGACTGTGAGCAGTTTTCCCTCTAGGCAGTAGAGGGCGCCAGCGACACAGATACCTCCCCACAGTTTCCTGTAGTTAAAGCTGGTTCTTGGCGCTAATATATGACTGCTTTAGGTTCATTACATGTTATGCAATTTTACCATGAGATGAACTGCCAATAAAAACTTTTGATAACACTTTAGGAATAGCTTTTTGTACAGTACAATCAGTTTTTCTAGAATATTCGCTTATCTCAATTAGCCAATTTAAATAACTCTGAAAACTTGACTATTTTACTGTCAAACTCAACACTCTAACAACAATCCTATTTTACCCTGTCTATATTAGTGGAAAGGATTATTTGCCTTCTTGAGTAGGCCTGAGCATTCCTGGTACTAGGCTGGATTTGGATATCAAAAACCCACTTCCCCACACCATGGGTACAAGACATCTCAAACAAGTCTTGTCGCACTGAGAGGGCAGCTGCTGTTGGTAAAGTCTCTGTTACCTGGATCCCGATTTGAGCTGTGCATGGGAAGCAAAGCAGCCATGGGGGCAGGAGACCTCCCTCAGAAGGGGTGAAGGTTCAGGCCCCTGCAAAGTTTGGGGGGTAAGGGTCTGTGCTTCACCTCTGTTGACCCCTCTGCGACTGTGCCTGTCTTAGGTTGTTCCTTTCCTGAAGAATCTTACCCTCCAGGGCCAAGCAGGGTGATGTAAGGTTTAGTTCTGTCTCCTTGGCAGCCTGTATAAAGCTGGTTTCTGAGCTCCCACCATTGTAAGAGCTGGTGAAACTCCAGGCCTGGGAGTATTTTAGAGCTTACACTAGTTGCCATCAGGTGTGGTTCCAATCAGAGGGCCTCTTTCTGCAGTTCCCTCAGGGGGAATGCCCTCTCCGGCCATGGCATTCCTCTGGGTAAGGTGGGGTTCAGTGCCTGATTTGTTTGCATTTTAATTCAAGGAAGTGACAGACACACGGAGCTCAAAAGCCCCAATGTTGTCTTTCAGAACTCTTCTCTTCCAGCCGCTCCCTTTTTGGCTCCATGCTGTCTGCACCTGCCTCAACATCTGCACCAGATCCCAACAGCCCACCTGCTCAGGTAGAGGAGCTGGGGGAGGGGCACAGGGCTGGTCATGAAACCTCTGCAGTTGTGGTTAGGCTAATGACATAACCACACAGTCATGAGCAAAGTGCTAGGGGCTGCTAGATCACAAGAAATTATGCTAGCCCCTCCTTGAAAGCATCCTGGAGATTGACACGGTGGGAGACTGACTCCATAAGTATATGAACCTATCTAAAGCTCCAGGTAACCCGTGTGCAGTGAGCTCTGTTCTGATCATTGAAGACAGTGGTTCTCAACCTTTCATAAAATTATTTTCACTGCTGCTTCATAACTGTAATTTTGCTACTGTTAATGAATCGTAATGTAAATATCTGTGTTTTCTGATGGTCTTAGGCTCTACAGCAGAGGTTCTCAACCTGTAGGTCGCCTAAGACCATCAGAAAACACAGATGTTTACATTACGATTCATAATAGTAGCAAAATTACAGTTATGAAGTAGCAACAAAAATAATTTTATAGTTGGGGGTCATAACAAAATGAGGAACTGTATTAAAGGGTCGAGGCATTAAAAAGGTTGAGAACCACTGATTTAAGACAAAGTAAGCAAGACAGCAAAGAAAAACTGTGGGTGGCAATGAAAGGAAGTTCTGTGTATTTCTTTGAGTTTTTACTCAGCAATCACCGGAGGTTGGTTTCCAAGTGAGGCTGGGCCTTTAGCCCTGAAGGGGCTCTCGGGCTGGTGCCCATGTGCAGTGAGATACCAGTAACCTGGCCCATCTTCTCCCATCTGGCTCTGGGAAGAATTTCCTCTGAAGAGATTGAGATCTGATTCCTTATAGCGTTTCCCTTTTAGGAAGAGGTGACCTCTCTGGAAGTTGATATACGAAACTGTCCTGAGGGAACCCCACGAGCAGCTGGGATCCAGGCTGCCTCTTCTCTGTAACAGAAGATGTAGGGACTTTTGGGGACCCCTGCTGGACTTCAGAAACAAGATATTCCCAGGCCGAGAGCCAGCTGTGTGCAGATAGTCACTTTGTCTGAGCCCTGTTATCATTTAGTTTCTAAGGGAAACAAGATCCCTGTGGACATCTGGGAGACACAGATGCACCCCCCCAGATCAGCAGTAACGGGATGGGAGAAGTGCCTTTGTCCCTTTGTTCAGGGGTTCATCTCAGGTGCCCGGCAGACATTGTTGTACTTTGTGGCGTGTAGCACCAGAAAGTGATGGCAAGTTGTGTGATCCCAGTATTTTTTCCTCCTTTCTCTTCCCTTTTCAGGAGAGCATCCTGTCCACCACCTCTCTCCCCACCGTGAGCCTCCCCGACAGTCTCATCGCATCCCCCGCAGCCACGGCCCTGGACCCCACAGAGAGGCCGGGCTGTGAACGCACTTCCCAGCCCGAGAACCCCTTTATCCAGCCTGCAGACTTTGGTCCCTCCACGCCCCCACTGAGTGTCCCACAGCCTTTCCTCCCCGTGTTCACCATGCCTATGCTCTCGCCCAGCCCCACCCCGATGCCAGCTCCCCCTGCTGTGCCACTCGCCCCTCCTGCCACCCCCCTGAACCCCCCAACCTCACCCACCTTCCTGCAGCCACAGAAGTTTTCTGGAGCCAACAAGCCCCCTGCTGTCATTACCCACACAGCTTCCACCACTCTCACGCACGATGCCTCTGCTACCACCTTCAGCCAGAGCCAAGGCCTTATCATCACCACTCACCACCCCACCCCCTCAGCATCCCCCTGTGGCCTGACACTGTCTCCAGCCACTCAGCAGCCAGCTGTGGGCCCTCCGCAGCCCCGTTTAACTTTTGTGCATCCCAAACCTGTATCCGGGACTGGAGGGAGGCCCAAGCAGCCCCCCAAAATAGTGCCTGCTCCCAAACCAGAGCCCGTGTCCTTGGTATTGAAGAATGCTTGCATTGCCCAAGGTGAGTGGGGAGGAAAGCTGGACTCTGACCTCCCTACAGTCCCCAGAATATTCTCTTGGCCCCAAGGCTTGCATATTCATCACACACACACACACACACACATTATAATGTGAAAAAAAAGTATAATACTGCATATGATTGCTCTAGTCTATTTTGTGTTCTGTGTTGTTCCTTTAAAATTAGTCTCAACCCAGTTGGAAAACACATGGTCCTTCTCATCTCTTTCCTGGGTCTGTAATCTGTCCCCTTCAAAGGGAAATTACAAAAACATGTCCGGGGCCTTGGAAATTACAAAAACATGTCCGGGACCTTGGAAATTATAAAAACATGTCAGGGGCCTTGGTGGCTTTGTCTTTTCTGTGCCCCGCGGTGAGGAAAGCTATCAAAGGGCCCCATCTTTCTCCTGGGGGACCCCATTATGCCTTGGCCAGGCACAGGGTTAGCACTAACGTTGAGAGCAGGTCCCATGGCTTGGGGCCTCCCCCTCACCTTCTTCTTCTGGCAGCTGCCTTCTCAGGACGGCCACAAGCAGTGATCATGGCAAGCCCTATGAAGAGAGAAGGGATGTTGGCTTCAACCGTGCCCCAGTCCAATGTGGTCATCACGCCTGCTCCCATCGCCAGGGTGAGGGCCTGGACAGACCTCAGCATCCTTAAACCCGCAGCATGGCCTGCTCTTGGGCAGCCCTCGCCCAACAACCATCGTCAGGAGTGATCCCTCTCTCTCTCGTCACCTCAGGCTCCTGGAGTCCCAGAGTTCCACAGCAGCATCCTGGTGACAGACCTGGGCCATGTCACAAGCAGCCAGCCTGGCCCCATCTCCCGGCTCTTCTCTGCAAGCTCAGTGCAAGACTCCCTAGTGAAGGGCGAGCAGGCCCCACTGCACGGGGGCAGTCCCCAAGGCGCTGTTGTGGGCTCTGGTGAGTGGTCACTGTGGCTGGGACAGTTGGGACTTTGTGAGTGAAATGAGCTGGCCCCCTCCTGGATTTGGGAAGCCCCCAGGGTGACCCAGGATTGAGCTTGGGCTTATAGGCCAAGCAGCGAGGTCTCATAAACCCGCTGGTGGCCCAGACTGGGAAAGTGAGCGGTGCAGGCAGGATACAGCCAGGAGCAGAAAAGCAGCAGGCATGCTGCGGTATGATTCTTTGGTTTTTGCTTGAGGGCCACTGTAGGAGGCTGAAGATGGGTTTCTGGTCTTGGGACTTGCTGGGGGTTCCCTTCGTGTGTGAGGACTGCGGCAGGTACAGCCTGGCCGAGCCCCCTCTCCAGTCCTGTCCCTAAGCAGATCTTTGTTCTTCTCAGGTCGTGACGGCCCAAACTCCGGGCAGGCCTCGCCATGTGCTTCAGAACACAGCCCCAGTCCTCAGTCTCCCCAGAACAGCTGCTCAGGGAAATACTCTGCAGATTCCAAAAATGTGGCTGTGTTAAAGGTACCACCGTCTCTTTCGGGTCTCTGTTCCGTAGGAAGGATGGGGAGGCAAGGCCATGCCCTTACGAGGGGCACACTGGAAAGGAGAGCCATGGCTCGGCTGGTGCTCCCCAGGCTGAGGTAGCCTTGGAAGTGTGGTGTCAGCACCTTTAATTTCGATATTAAGCCCTCTTTCTCCACCCCCACCCACGGAATGGCCTGTGGGAGCAACACGGACTCCTGTAATGTGGCAGAAAGCGTCAGCTGTAGGACAAGAGAGGTTTGCAGATGGCTGGGTAGTGCCAGACCGGCAGCGTTTGTTCCTTGCCAGGACTTTGAAGCATAGCCACACTCCATGCTTCCGGGGTGGTTTTCTAGGGTCTCATCCTGTCCCCTCATGGCTCCTGCTGAAGCCTTTCAGCTTCCTGTCACCACTCCTTCCACTTAGCTCTCTAGCCTGGCCACGGTCCAGCCGACCCCCAGCAGTCAGCAATAGGTTGAGAGAGCAGGGAGGAGGGACCGGGAGAGGTGGCCTGCAGCGCACCCCTGATGGGTCGGTTTTCCAACAGAACCGGCAGATGAAGCACATTTCAGCCGAGCAAAAGAGGCGCTTCAACATCAAGATGGGCTTTGACACCCTGAACAGTTTGATCTCTAATAATTCCAAGCTGGTAAGCTGCCTGGGGGCATTGGGTGAGGAACTCAGTCCTGGGGCGTGGGCGCTGCTCTGACCCCACACCCGTCTGCAGACCAGCCATGCCATCACGCTGCAGAAGACAGTGGAGTACATCACCAAGCTGCAGCAGGAGCGCAGCCAGATGCAGGAGGAGGCGCGGCGACTGCGGGACGAGATCGAGGAGCTCAACGCCACCATCATGTGAGGCGCGGCACATCATGGAGGCTCGGGCGGTGCTCAGTCCTCACATGTGCACCACACAGGCAGGATCGTCCTGCCCATCCGGTGCTCCAGGGGCCCGTATTTGTCATCGGCTGCTCCAAGCTTCCTCTGATTCTTCCTGTCATTGCAGCTCCTGCCAGCAGCTGCTCCCTGCCACAGGAGTCCCCGTCACCCGGCACCAGTTTGATCACATGACAGACATGTTTGATGAATATGTGAAGAGCCGGACCCTGCAGAATTGGAAGTTCTGGATTGTATCCTTGGGTTTCTTTTGCCCGCCCTATCCCAAACAGTAGACATCTACACTCTAGTCCTTTTAGAAAGATTCTCATATAATGGCTGTCATTCAGCTTCTGAAACAACAGGTCAGTTTTCTCCTTGAGAGATCAGGGCCAGGCCCGAGACGTGGAATGGGGCTATCATTGGCCTCTCCTCAGGTCGGGGCTTCCGGAGGAGGCAGAACAGGCCAGCATTGCTCTCTGGGTCCTTGAGGACTGAAGACAAGAGCCGCTTGTAGAAGGAAGTGGCCTCTAGCCTAACACGTCCCAGCAGCCAGCTTGTCCTTTTGAGGGGAGGGGAAGGGAGGGGAGAGGAGGGATGGGAAAGGGAGGGGAGGAGAGGAGAGGTGACAGGTGACAGGGAGTACCAGGTGACAGCTGAGAGACCAGGCTCACAAAACCAAGCGGCAGAGCTTGGGTTTGAAACCAGCTCCTTCCACCTGCTCCCTGAATAGGTGCCCCAGGCCTTGAATGCTGTCATGAGGCACTTACCTGTGGGCTGGGCCTCCCTTGGCTGGCCTTCCAAATGGCCCTTTCAGGGGCTGGCTCCTGCCTTCTCACTGCCCACCCAGCCACTACTCTGCCTCTGGATTGGCCACTGCCTCAACCTTGTGTGTGACAAATGGGTCTGGACTTAAAATGGCTAGATGGGATTTTCAACTTTAGGATGGTACAAAAGTGATACAAATAGTAAATAGCGTGAGATAGTCAATACTTTATTATAAAACTTGGGCTTTGTGTTAGATCAGTGAATTTCAACCCGTGTGCCACAAGAATTTTTGTTTTAATCCTCTATATTTTCCCACTGATTTTTAAAGAGAGTGGAAGAGAGAGGGAAAGACAGAGAGAAATATTGATGTGAGAGAAACACATTGATTGTCTGCCTCCTGCACAAGACCCGACCAAGGCCCGGGCCCGGGAAGAGTCTGCAACTGAGGTACATGCCTTTGACTGGAATCAAACCCAGGACCCTTTGGTCCATAGGCCAGCACTCTATCCACTGATCAAACCAGCCTGGGTACTGCAAGAATTTTTAAAACATGTAATACTTGACTATTTTATCAGGGGCACTGATCTCTTTTTCCTTAAATTGTCAAATTTAAAAAATGACAACAGCCAACACAAATAATCAGGATTCTACCCCACTTTTTTGTCAAGCAAAAATATATATCTATAATTTTTGGTGTACCACAGAATTTAGTTTATGTATGCATGAGATGAGTGAAATGAGTTTGCCCAACTATAGATTATTGTGAGTGTTCTGAGCATGTTCATGGTAGGGTGGGCTAAGGTATGATGTTCTGTAAGTTAGGTGTAATAAATGCATTTTTTACTTATGGGTTTATCAAGATGTAACCCTGTCATTAGGCAAGGAGCATGTGTATATTTATGTCATGTTCAAGTCATTGTACCAGGATCCATTCCAGACCAAAAAAACGCTTCTGTGCCTGCCTCCAGCCTGCTCAGTGATCAGTTCTGGTTACACTAGGTCTTAGCCGGAAGGCTGGGCAGCGATGGGGGTCAGTTACAGTTCGATAGGAGCATCTTCGGCTAATGGAAGGGAAGGGCATGCTTGCTTACCTCTTCCAGATGTCTGTCACTCAACTATCTGTCACAATTACTTGCCCGCCCCAAGGAAAAGGCCCTCACCGTCGCTCACCTTTTCTTTAACCCACGTGCCCTGCAGTTCAGTATCATCATCAAGCCGCTGTTCGAGTCCTTCAAGGGGATGGTGTCCACCAGCAGCCTGGAGGAACTGAACCGGACGGCGCTGTCCTGGCTGGACGAGCACTGCTCCTTGCCCATCCTCCGGCCGAGTGAGTGAGGTGCCGCATGGGGCGGTGGGAAATGGAGGCTGCCACCTCCGTGTTAGTGCCGGAGAGATGAGGGCCCTTAAGGCTACAGAAAACCCAGGCCGCACTGCAAACAACTATGCAGACAGGACCCGGGGTGTGAGGATGGTGCTGTGCAGAGTCCTGAGCTTGTCACTGGCAGGGCAGGGAGCAAACTTTCCCAGCCTTTCTGGGACTTCACTGTGTCCATTCCATCAGATCCAGTTCATGTTTGTTTGTTTATTTATTTAAATATATCTTTTGCTGATTTTTCACAGAGAGGAAGGGAGAGGGATAGAGGGTCAGAAACATCAATCAGCTGCCTCCTGCATACCCCCCACTGGGGATGTGCCCGCAACCAAGGTGCCCTTAACTGAAATCGAACCTGGGACCCTTCAGTCCGCAGTCTGACGCTCTATCCACTGAGCCAAACCGGTTTCAGCAGCTTATGTTTATTGAGCTTTTCCTATTGGCTGGCCCTTTCAGATGTCTCCTTGTTTAATTCTTATAACTAACAAAGCTATGTCTATATGTTAAGATTATAGAGAAGTAGCAGTAACACTGGTGAACAAGCCGGGAGAGCTTAGTCCTCTCCACCTATCCGCAGGCTACGAATAGGATTCAGAGAGCTGCCTTACAGGCAGAGGCACTGTCCTGGTGTCCCGCTCCTCCTTTGGCAAGCACGAGAGTCACACGATGGTTGTACACGTAAGGCTACGTGTGCATACTCTCCGTGGTGGGACTCAAAGCAGCGCCTGCACCCTCCCTTCGGGCTAACTCCCCCTCCTGTCTTGCAGTGGTGCTGAGCACCCTCCGGCATCTGAGCACCACCACCTCCATCCTGACAGACCCGTCCCAGCTGCCAAAGCAGGCCGCGGAGGCTGTCACCAGACGTGGCAAGAGATCCGGGGAGTCTTAGTGCTTAGCCAGCAGTGCCGCCCGGGATGCCAGAAGACCCTTCCCTGCCTGTGGAGAGGAGGCTGCGCCCCACGCCTCTCCTGACGCAGAGCCTCAGGGCCTCCCTCCAACTGCGCCAGCCCCCGGGGCTGCTCAAATGCCACGCTCAGGTCTGAAGCAGGTTCGGATCCTGCCAACAGCAATAGTCCATCTTTGGGAGCTCGTTGCTGTCAACTCTCACTCAGCGACCTCAGTCACAACCTCCGCTGCCCTCGGGGCAGCTCAGACAGGGAAACACCACAGTTCATTCCTGTCCTGCTGGTTTGCCAGGCCCACGGAAGCAGGTGGGCACGAGGAGGCAGTGCCTACTCCTGGAATTAGAAAACGTACAGGTCCCTGCCCGGTCCCTGATGTTTCATCCTGGCAGTTGTCTCTGGATGACTCTCTGCCTGCTCTGGCCCGTCCTGGGGCAGTTTCCTCCTCCTCCAGACTCTGACCTGCAGACAGATTGGACAGCTGTGCAGGCTTTCTCATGGCCAGCTGCCTGGCAAACCCTGGACTCACGTGTGCAAAAGCAGAGGGTGTGAATGCACGAGGACAGGAAGGAAAGCACAAACAATGCAAAGCTGCTGCTCCGGCTCGGAGACCCTCCTGGTGGCCTGTGACCTGTTCCGATTTGGCTCCACTTGCTTTGGCGGGCAGCACCCGGCACCGCTGATGGGAATGGTGGCGTGGACTTGATCTGAAACTTCGCCAGGTATCAGCTCTCAGTGTGGCCTTTCCACCTTGTCCTCCATCGGCTTCCACACTCAGCCTCCAACACGCCAGCAGCATCTGACGGGCATTCGTGGCCCTTTGGGTGCAGCATTCGAAAGGCCAGGCACCAGCCTGGTCCTCTTGTCTGCATTGTTCACCCAGGAGCCTCCAACCAGAACGGTTCTCGGACCAAAGAGGACCCCACGCCCAAAGGCCTTCCTGTCCTGTTTGGAGGAAGCAATTGAATGTCGACAAACAGAATTCCTGGCCAGCCTCAGCTGTCCAGACGTCGCCCAGATCAGATAGTAAAGAACTGCACCCAGAGTTGATGAGGTGGAGGAGAGGGGTTCCCCTAGGGCACCGGGTATGGGGATTGCAGTGGAGGGTCCACAGGGTCCGGAGGAAGGTGTGGCGGGAGGGTGGTCTGGGCCAGTCCTTGCAGTGTCTGCCAGCATAGCTGCGGGTGAAGGGCACTCGTAACACCCTGGAAGCCTGGCCTGGCCAAAGGCACCTTCTGGTTGAAAGAATGCGCTTTTATCGTCCTGCTGTGAAGTTCAGAGGGCCAGCTGGCTCTTTCTCCTCCTGCCAGAGGTGGAGATGGGCAGTGCTGGCCAGGCCAGGAGAGCTGATGGGCTTTAAGGGGGGCCAGGAGCCATATGAGGGGGACCACAGCTACCTCCTGAGGTTCTGATCCATTAGGAGGTTCCCTGGTTCCTGGAGGACGAAGGAAGGTGCTCAGAGGGTGGCCAGCCCTGCCTCAGCCTTGGGTGGTGGAGGCTGGATGGGGGTTCTCCCCCCTGTGGTCGTCCACACCACCCCCTCTGCTGCAGGTCACTAACCTGTCACCTGCCCCTGGTCTATGCTTCACCCCTAAGCCTCCTCAGAACACGTGTTTACAGGCCTCCATCCCTCTCCTGAGAGGCAAGCACAAGACAGGGCTGGTGGACTGGTTCCTCATTTCCACGGGGATGTGGTGAGAGAACCACCGTTACCCCCAGGGAAACATGAAGTCCCCTTAAAAAGGGAAGGGCTCCCTCAGGGCCAAAGGGGAAAAGGAAGACACGAAACGTTCGCAGCTGTTAGGGCTCATGGAGGGGCGAGCTTGGCCCTTCCACAGATCTGTGCCTTCATAAACCACGTGGGTGGCTGCAGGGCTTGGCCCAGCCTAGCCCTCCTAAGCCGTAGCTTTTTCCCACCCTTGCTGGGAGCCCTTTTTAAAACAAATTCAGTGGGCATAAACTTGGCCTCTTGCTTCGCTGGCCTACCTCTCTCTGTCTCTCCCCTTTGCTGATTTAGTGATCAGATTCTGTTTAAGCTGTTAGGCTGTGTGTGACTTCCAAGGGTGTGTGTCTGTGTGGCATGTTTTTGTTTGAGGTATTTACTTAAATCCATTTCTCTTGGTGCTCACCATTACCGTGGCTGCAGGGCCACAAAGCTTTTCTCTTACTGCAGACACACTGTTGCTTGTCCTCCAGGTTTCCTTGTTTTTGCCTCTTGTCTGATGAATCTGGCCAGCACAAGGGCCTCTTCACCTCTATCCTTGAGTCCCGGCCAGAGCACGGGGAAACTGAGGCAGCCTGCCAATGGCCTCTAGTAAATGCTGACCATGGGGCTGTGGTTTGTTTACACTTATTTTTACTCCCATGCCAGTCCAACTCCCATAAAAGAAACTTAAAAATGCTGACACTTTGGAGAATGAGAAAATCAGTCTGAAAAGGGGAAAAAATCCTGTCTGGTACATACATTCTGCAAGTATTTCTGTGAAATCTCTCTGTGCCATCAGCTCCCTGCACTACTCTTGACTCTTTCACAATGAGTGGGGATGCAGGGACTGAGCAGAGGCCGCTGTGGGGCTTTCTGAAAGCGGAAAGGCCTGTCCCTCCTGTCCCAGGCGGCTTACCCACCCGATGCCACCCCTCAGCAGGCCCCCGACCTGTGGCAGACCCGCAGCTGGCAGCGGTTCACAGCACCAGGAAAGTAGTTCCCACGTCAGAAATTAGTGCTGACGGAAGGAGGGGCTGGGGGAGTGGGCAGTGAAATCCCCAGCATGCTGTGGATTGAGGTCGCATATGTGTCCTTGGGCACCCACCTTTCTCCACTTCCTGTCTCTGTGACATGACCCCATTTCACCTTTCCAGAGGTCAGGCCTGAAGGTGTTTTTGCTGCGGCCAATAGAAATATAAAGTTAGACTCTCAGAGGACACGGGACCCCAGCATGGTCCCATCCCAGGTGAAGGCGTGTGGCAGTGGGTGACATCATTCATCGCCTCTTTCAAGCACAGCCTCCTCCACAGTCACACACCCCTGTCTCCATGTGCAGTTCTGGCTGGCTCCGCCCCAGCTGCCTCTCAGGCCTGGCTTCCCACCAAACGAGCCCTGGGGCAGCAGGGCCATTGTTTTCAAGATCACAAGTGTTTGCTCTCTGGCTGACAAGAGCTGTCAGAGTGGAGCTGGGCTGTACTTGGGTCTGTCTCCCACCCCCCATGGCCAGCAGACTCGCTCAGCGAGCAGGGGGTGGGTGCTAGGGGCCAGGCCCTGTGCTGCCTGACTCCTCTGCTCTTGCCTCTAAAGTTCAGTTCTTTTACCTCACTGGCTCCGACGGGCAGGCTTGGAGCATTGCCTCACCCCCCCTCCTACTCAGCAGCTCCCTCCCCTCCCTTGGTCCCCTGGCCCCTCCATGGTCTTTGTCCCACTGACTGGGCTGCTCTCTCTGGTGGGAGAGTTGCCTTTCCCAGAGATTCCAGGCTTCCCATTAAGCTCTTTGCAGTAGGTGAACTGCCCCCACCACCACCCCACTCCCTACACTTAGCTTTGCAAAGTGTTCCTGGCGGACCTGGCCGGGATGGAGCTGGGAGAGCCCTGATGTGGCCGCCTCGGGCTCGGTGTCTCGTATATTAAAGTTTTCCCCACGTCTGAACACAGGGAAACAGAGAGGAGAGCTTGGAGGCTGGACGTGTTTGTGCCATTCTGGAGCTGCCTTGGTCGTGGCCCACTCAGCAGGCCTTGGTGGTTGGAGGGGCTCCAGGAACAGGGAGAAGCGTTAGGACCCCCCACCCCCCATCACGTCCCTCCCCGGAGTCAGCTGCCTGATTTTCCTGAGGATGCGGCTCTCTTGGCTCACCACGTGGGGGCTGTTTCCTTTTCAGGCTTGTGAGAATCCGCCTTGGAGAAAAAAAAAAGGGAACTTTTTTATACTGAATGTTGGCTTTGACTGTGTGTGTGTGTGTGGGGGGGGGGGGTGTGAATGAAATTTTATTTTTGTGAAATTCCTTTCCAATTATGTAGCAAAATTCACCTTCACCTCCCAGTCAAACTTTTGGTTCCACAGTCGACCTTGGGCGTCGCTGATTTGAAGAATTCTCTTGTGCATTTCTGAACAGAGATGTGTTGCTCTCAAGACCTGAGCTTGTGCAGGTTGGGAGAAAATCAGGTTTTGTACTTTTCCATAGAGTTTACATCCTGCAGTTAGAAGGTAGGAAGGGCCCGGCCCTGGGAGACCCGACCCAGTTGTGTGCTCGTGAGGGAGCCGAGCACAGCCTCCCCCACGCCACCTGCTGCTCCCCCTGAACCCAGGCTCTTGAACTTGTCCTTGGGTTCCCATTCCCTGTGCGATGGTTCGCTTTTTCCTCTGGGAGCTTTGGTGATGGTGTCAGGGCTCCTCAGGAGACAGTGACCCCGTCTGGAAACAAACCCCCGGGGGTCTGGGCAGCGCAGGGTCCTACAGGCCTGCGTCACCCAGAGCACAGCCCTGTCAACGCGTGTCGAGAAGCATGTTTCCACCAGCTGTGTTCAACACTACAATGCAGTTTGAAAACTACATTTACATCCAAAACAATAAAAAGCCGTATTTTTTGGAAACGCCTGTGGTGTGTGGTCTTAAGTGCTGCCCTGTTGGTCTATGGGGAGCCGGTGAAAGGAGAGCAGGCAGAGTGCCTCCCAGCTGCGCCCTCCTGGCCTGGAGGTGGGAATGCCGCCTGCAGGGGAGGCATTGGGTGAGGACAGAGGCCCAGGTGAGCGGGGTTCCGGAGGTGTCCCCAGAAAGACTGATTTTACAGAGAGGCCTCCGCCAAAGGGGCTGGTACCCCAAGCCTCGTGTGACCCATTCTGCCCGTAAACTCATCAGGTGGGCAGAGTTGAGTGGCGCTTGTACCAACTGCCCAGATCTGTATCTCTTGACTAAAATGCAGTGGTTTGCTACACAGGTTCTTGTCTGATCAAATCCCAAGGCCTCCCCCAAGGGAAAGAAGTTCATGACACAAAACAAGA